TCCCTACAAATTAAAAAGACTTCGGCTAAGTAAAACTTCCCTGCGGTCCCCAAATCCCAGCCCTGTGCAGCTCGGGGGGGGCAGAGAGCTCTGCACCCCTGGACCAGAGACTGTGTTTGCCATCGGTCTCCTGCAGCTGCTTTGTCAGCCTGGGACAGAGGAACCCACCGATGGCTTCAGGGTGCCCCGGAGCTTGGACAAGAAAATCAGCATTTGCTTACTAGTCCTGCAGGGCTTAGCAATGTAAAATCACAGGCCTTTTTAAGGACTCGGGTGGCTTTTAAACTTGGCATTGTCTCCTTTATGATAAGAAGAGGCATCGGGAAATTTGCAGCTAATACTTCTGCAAGAGGCAACTCCTGCCTGCCCCACTCGTGCCACCTCTCTCCGGCTTGGTGGGGTCACATTCATTGCATTAATTCTGTAATTTTGTTCCTAATGGACTCTGGTTTATCTTGACAGTAACATTACTCATTAGGGAAAAATATTGATGCTTCTAATAGATTTACTGTTGCTTAAAATAGTTTGTTGTACAGTCATTAACATAAATGACTTACTGGGATGAGGGACATACATATTGACCTCGTTGCTGAACAACAGGATCCCACTGAATCTTAAATCCTCCAGTTATATTCTTTATTTTTACAGCATTACAGCCCTAGATGACATGTTGAGGGAGCAACGCAAAGCCAAGCCTCGCTGCGGGGCAGGGATGGGCTGCAGACCCGGCCGGGGCTGGGGCGCAGGGGCGAGCAGCCCCGGCAGCGAAGCAGGCAGCAGCGTGGGAAGGGCCAGGCGGGTACCAGCGCAGATCGTAATCTCCCAAAATCTTGCACATCCTCGCCGAGCTAGTGCCCGATTCAAACATGACTCAGCCCCGACATGTATTTTTATCAGCTCTAGCATATGGCCCCGGCACCACAGAAATGGCCCTCGGCAAGCGCTGTGGGCAAACAGACAAAAACCTACCGGCTTGCTTAGTGTTGGCTGGGAAATACAGATTGCAAAATACACAGCAAGGAAACCGCCGAGGTGGGCAGTCACCTCGTAGGGAGCGGCTGCAGGCTCACGGGCACCCACGTAGCCCCAAACCGGCCCCCAAAAGCCCTGGAGAGGTGCCCGGTCCCGCAGGCACCCTCCCCGCTGCTGGGATGGACGGTCCGGCTCAAACGGTGGAAATACGGTGGATGTTTCCGCTTTTTTTGTGCAAATCCACATCCCCCAAAGCCTGCTCGTCCCCGGCCTCGGTGCTCCCAGGAGACATCCCTGAAGCTGGCTTCCCACAGCCCTCAGCAGAGGGGCTCGCCCGCCCACCCACCCAGGCTAATTGCTAACGAGTGCCATTAGCTATTTATTAATTAGCTCAAAGACTGAATGGAAGGGAGGAGATACTTAAATATTGGGGGGTTGGAGTGTTAAAAGAGTGACTTTAACCTAGAGGGGACCGACACCGACGGGGGGGATTTTTTTTTTTTTCTTTCCCCAGCAGCTGAGTTGTGTTTCTTCATGCTCTCTCAGCCCCTGTAAAGCTCTGGGAGGAAAAAAAAGTGTTTTTCTAATGACTGGGCTCCTCTTGTGCAACGGCTGCGGGAAATCCCAGCAAAAAACAGTGAAGAAAACAAAAAAATTTCACCTCGCTAATCCATCTAGAGTAACACAACCTGGAGAGCAGGGAATTAATTACGTGGTTTGGGGGGTTTTACCGCGGAAATACCCCCCCTTCGATACAGCTGCCATCCAGAAAGCAGCCTGGGAGGAGGAGTGCAAAGCCTCCCTGAGCAGCTCAGGAAAAGCAAACCCAGTGCAACAGGTTGCACCGAAGGCGATGCAATTACTGCGGCTGCAGCAGGAGCTGCCACGGGCAGCGTGCGGCCCCCCAGCAACCCCGGGGGCTGCCGGGGAGCGAGGCCAAGCCTCCAGCTTCCTTTAGACTTGCAAGAAGCAGGTTTTGAAAGAACATCCTCCTGCGAACGGGGTTGCAGCAAGTTGTGCAAGGCGATTCCCAGCAGCGCCATGGCCAGCAACGGGGGAGCCTGGGATGGGGAGCGGGAGCCACCGCCAAGCCAGGAGATGGAGTTGGAGCCCCTCAAGCCCCCAGCGCTGCCAGGAAAAACTCAGAGGTACCAAACTGCTCTGCAAATGGGGCCCAAAAAGGAGCTTCCCAGCAGCTCCCCAGCACGGCTCCTTCAGCCCAGTGCTTTGCGCCTTGGCAAGAGGCAGGGCAATAATCCCTGGTTCCCCAGGGGGTAACGGCGGGGCCGAGCTGGGCCGAAGAGGGGCAAAGCCCGAAGCTGCACAGTGAGTGATGTCCCCAGCAGAAACCGGAGTTTTTAAAGAAAGCCACCGTGGTTTCGGTACCGCTTGTGGCAGCAGGGTCAGAGCTGCAGGTTTGCGCTGAGCCTGGCCAGGACGGGGAAGCGAAACCCCAACGGGGGCTGTGGACGGCTCCTTCCTGCTGCTCTCCTCCTCACGGGCTCTCTGCTTTTCCCTCCCTCCGCACAGACCCCCCATCCCTTTCCCCCCAGACCTGGGCTGGGGGGTGTTGAAGGCTTTTCCTGCTCTCGTCCCACACCTCTCCCACCACCGCATCCTCTGTGCGGCCACCCAACAGGGACCGCAGGGCAGACGTGAACCCGTGTGTACCCACTCCCCGCTCTGTACCCGCGTGGGTGTGAACCAGTGCACGTGAAGCCCCCAAGGCAGCCCCCACCCCTCGGGAGCGGGAGCACCCCCAGGACCCCCCAGCGCAGGAGCTGGAGTCACTGAGCCACCAAACTCCCTGTCTTTTGCCCCAAAACCACGCAGCCAGGGCCCCCCAGGCCACCGCTTCCCCTTTCTTCTTATTCTTTCCCTGAGCCAGCACCGGAGTCGGAAACCCCCCAGGGGGGGCGAGCGCTGACTCCTGGCTCCCTGCAGGGCCGTCGTGCAGGCGCGGGGCAGCATGCGCGCCCGCTGCGGCAGCCTGGACCTGGGTGCCCCCGGACCACCCACCCCCATGCCGGACACCCCGGGGGGCCGCCCGTCTCGACCTCCCAACTCAGCCCTCATCTACAGCAACGTAGGTGAGTGATACCCTGACCCCGCTGCCTTCCTGCCCGCCGAGGTGTCTGCTCGGATGGCGGGGATGAACCCCGCTGCTGTCCCCGTCCTCCTCCTGCAGCACCCGACTGTCACCCCTCCGGCTGGCACTGGGCATCGCTTTGGGGCTGGAAATAGGCAGTGGGGCAAATAACCCCCGTACCGCCCCGTCTTCCACTTTTCTTGCACCCCCACCCCGGGAAGTCTTAGCCCTGCCGTGTCTGTTCCTCCCTCCCCAGGAGAGCTGCGCGCCCACCTTGTCCCCCGCAAGGCTAGCCGAGGGGAAGGAGCCGGGAGATCCCCCTCTCAGCCCATGCCTCCCCCATTGCCGAAGAAGCAGCTCCAGCGAGCGGAGTCCCTCCCAGAGCAGGGGCCATCCTGGCACCATCGGGGCAACCCCGCACCATGGGCTGGCAGCATCCCACCACTCCATCTGCAGCACGAGGAGGGGGCTCCCAGCTCCATCCCCCCGTGGAACAGACCTTCCTGGGGACCCAAGAAGCCCCTGACCAAGTCCCGAAGCCTGGGGGAACCAGTGGCCCGGAGCAGCCTGCAAAAAGCCTCATCACCCAGCCCAGCGGAGCTGACATTCCGGACGGTGGACGGGGAGCTGGGGCAGCTCCTGCAGTCCCTGGAGAGCCCGTCTGGGGTGTGCGGGGTGGTTTTGGGGTGCCAGGCAGCTGCCCTGGCCCGGCTCTCGGCTTGCATCCAGGAGGGGCTCGTGGGGCCGGAGGAGCGGCAGCAGCTTCTGGAAGCAGAGCTGGCGGGGAAGGGCTGGGCAGCGCTCAGCATCCTGGACCGGGAGCCATGCTGCGAAAGCGGGGACGCTTGGTATTTCCGAGTGGGCTTCACTTTTGAGCAAACCCAGCTGGTGTTTGCAGCCAAGGTAAGCAGGGAATTGGGGAAAATGCCCGGGTGGTGCAGAGGGAGCTGGCTCCCAGGGCACAGGGGGCTGCGGTGCTGCAGGCAGGCATGAACTGGGAGCGTTGGCTTTTCCACTGACCCCTGTCACACAGGCAGTTCCTCTTTCTGCACCTACTTCTGCATTTGCTAAATGAGACAGCGCTGCTGGCGTGAGCTGGGGAGGTGAGGGTGACAGCTCCCACGGGTCCAAAGGGCACGGCGAGGAGAATGGCGCTGCTGGGGGAGATGCCCTGGAAAGTGGTCTCAAGGGGCCAGCGGACGCAAAGTAGAGGCTGGAGCAGAGCTGGCTCCTCAGGCAGTGCAGGATGAGACCCATCACAGCGGCTCTGCAGCTTGCCTGGGGGTTACACCTCCTCCCCCCCATTCTCATTTCTTGCTCAAAGCCAATCCAGCAGGCACCAGTGGGATTGGAGGGTGCGGGGGGAGCCCAGCACTGTGCCTAGGTCAGATCAGGGCTGGTGGCCCTGAGCTGAGGTGGTGGCCCAGCCCAGGACAAGGCACCCTGTGGCTCCATCCTTGTGCAGCTGGCCATGCCCTGTCTCTCCTTGCAGGTCCCCAAGCTGGGCTGCACCAGCCTGGGGGTGCAGAGCTCCCTTGGGGCACACTGCAGCATCCAGCGCCTGATCGGCCGCTTCACCGACCGCCTCCCTCGGGAGCTGGTGCTCCCAGGAAGCTCTGGGCAGCAGAGTCGGTCCCCTTCTGGAGAGGAGCCAGCCCGTCTTGCCACCCACCCTGTCCTGCAGATCCTTATTTCTCCTGAGGTTCCCTACCAGACCCTGGCAGGCTTTGTGAAGGAATCCCACGGTTTGCACAGGACCAGCCCCGGGCACTACGAACGCCTGGCTTGCCTCCTCCTCCTGCAGGTGTGCATGGGGCTGGAGCACCTCCAGGTGCAGAACGTGGGGCGGGGGGACCTCTGCCTCGAGAACCTGCTGCTAGTGCGGTGCCCGTGTTCTCCCCGGAGCCAGCAAAGCAAGGAGGCATCCCTGTCCCTTCCAAGGCTGCTCATCAGCAGCTTCTTCAAGGTTAAAGACAAGCAAAGACCTTGTTCTACCAGCCAAGAGCAGGACTGGACCGAGGGGCTTGCTGCACCGCCCTCCCCGGCAGCAGATGAGCTGAATGTAGGCATGCTGATCTATCGGATCTTGCACGTGGATATCTCTCTGGAAAACGCCTTGGGGTTCAGAAGCAATAGGCTTCCTGAAATCCCCTCCCTGTCCATCTATTCCACGGGACTCAAGCGTCTGGCCATGCTGCTTCTCCACAGAGATCCCTGCAAGAGGGTCTCCATCGAGCAGGCAAGGAGCATCCTGCAGGTCCTGCTCTGGGGCCCTCGCCAGGAGCTCTTCGCCCGAAGCAAGAAGACCCTCACCCTGCTCCGGAGCTGGGTGGAGGTGAAGAGGGCTCTGCTGCTCCTGCAGTTTGCAGAGAATTCGGCTGGGGCAGGGCCGAGCCCCGGCCTCGAGGAGTGGCTCTGCTGCCAGTACTTCAAGGAGGCCACTGAACACACACTCTACCAAGTCACCCAGGCTCTCTACACTCCCTAAAGGCAAGCTGAAGTTCAGCCCACCCAAAAGATCTCCCCAAAGCCAAGAGCCCATGGGGACCTGGCCAAATCCACCAGCTGCCATCTCCCACAAGGAACCCAAGCTGGTCCTCACTGGGAAAACTCTGTTTGCAAACCCAAACCCGCTTCCCCCACAGCACACAAGTACGAAGCTGGGACCAAACTCCCACCCGTGGCTCCCACAACGCAGGGTGTGTTTTGACACCCTTGGCCAATTTTTGTTTGATGCTGGGAGTCCAGTTTATCGGAGCATCTCAGGAAAGATGGCTGGATGGAAGCCACAGGATCAAGCACCAGTTTAGTGGCTGGTTACCCCGAGTAAAGTTTACAGGCCTTAGACTTTGCACAAAACCCCCTCAGACCCCTCCTGCGGCCACGAGGCTTTCGCTCTTTCAAATAACAACGCAAAGCCACACATTACAGCTCACCTTGATGCACTGTTAGCAAAGGAGAAATACACCACCTCGTACAGCCCCCTCTTTTTAGGAACAGTTGGTGGCATAGTCACAAATACAAATGACATTTTAAAGGGGGAAATACAACAGCCACACAGCTTCAATAAAACCCAGAGCTGAGCCTCTTAAACACTGGTCCTTTATGTGCTGCTTTGCCACCATCACATACCCCGGTGATCTATCCAGGGAGAAACACAAAGCCAAACTTCACTGCCCGGCGGCGATTAGCCAGAACAGCCTCGACGGCGTCTAGTAAACCGCTCGGGGCAGTTTACGGCTGCTGGGCCTGGGGACCAGGCTGCGGGGTCGGTCGCTGGCTGCACCAAGGCAGGGCCGTTGCATCTGCTGCTGGCGTAAAACACGCAGCACCACGCAGGATCTGCGCCCTGGTCCCCAAACCCGTGCGGATGCCAGGTGCCCGTCACAGTGGAATGATGTGCAATGCCCTGCTCAGGTCATTGATATTATTATTAATGAAGTAGTTATTAATCCACTCGCAGCTATCAGCTGACAGCAGCAAGAGCAGCCTCCGTGGGCTGTGCACGCAGCGGGACAGACCTTCCCCAGCTTCCCCATAGCGACCGCTGGGGCAGCCCCTGCGTGCCCGTGGACGTGAGCTGTGGCACACCAGGCAGTCACCGGAGCCAGGGGCACAGCTGAAATGGGGAGAATTCCTCCTAGGAGTCCCTGAGCTCAAAAAACCCCTGGTAAACCAGAGCTGTGACCCCCCCAAGATGAAACCACAGAGCAGCAATGCTCTCAGCTCCCCTGGTCGCTGGGTTTCTGCCTCCTGCCCTGCCCGCCGAGCGTGGGCAGGCAGCAGCCTCATCGTCTGGGCTGCAGCGGGGCCAAAGACCCAGCCGAGACCGCGACCCCTCTGTGCGAGGCTCCGTGCACGGTGGGGCGACCGTTCCTTCCCGGAGCAGCACCCAAACCCGGCAGCATGGCCTCTCTGCCGAGGCTGGACGAGCAAGGGGGGACCAAACAAGCTCCCCGGCCACACGAACCCCGACAGGGTCACCACCCAAGCACGGCTGGTCCACAGAAACGTCGTTCAAATTTCAGTATGGGCTTTTGGGCCCAAAACATGCAGGAGGGGTCGTCCTGGGTGAGCCCCAGCCCTGCAGCCCCCAACGCCTCTCCTGTAGTATCTTGCGTGGCTACAAGATGGCAGTAAAGCCCGTGGCACGGCAGCAGCTCACCCAAAGCCACCTTGGGCAGCCGATCCTGGAAAAACAAAGACAAAACCCATTTCTGCCAGCGCCTGCAGCCCCAGGCACCCCCTGCACCCGTTTCTGGTTTCCACCTTGGGTGACCCCTTCCCCTTCTGCCAGGAGCAGCTTGGAGCACCCAAGGTCAGCAAAACATCTACAGGGGACCACGGCCTTCAAGGCAGGACCACGTACATCTCCACACTCGCACGTCCCTGCGGAAAGCAGACCACGGCACAGAGGAAAACAAGAATTTCTCTGGAGAACCAGTTTATGAACTTCAGACCTTTGAGTAAAGCAGGAGCACCCTCTCCCCAGCCGCACCCACCTCCTTGTCGCTGGCCTTCAGCACACCACGAACAGCAAGTTCACAGCTTTCCAAACAAACCCACAGGAAGAACACAGTTGTAGGGCCACAAAAAAATTGGCCAGAGACCTGCGGGAAGGAGACCTCTCGCATGCACTGGACTGCAGCGCAGCCGGGAGCCTCCGTCCCAGCGGGGTGACACCGTGCTACCCACCGCACCCCGGGGCCCAAGGAGCTGGGGCAGCGTTAGCGAGAGGCTGATATAAATATCTGAAGCTAATTAATTAAACAGGCCAGCAAGAACATTCGCCTGTCACCGTGTTGCTGATTTAACAACAGGCTCTCTGGGAACACGGTGCCGTCCCCCGGGGTTACTCTGTGCTGCAGATCCGCTACGGGTTCTGCTCCCTGCTGCATCGCCGAGACGGGAATTTCAGGGATTACATTTTGGTGTATTCCATGCGATTCCAGTACTGCGCAGCCCAGGACACCTGCCTGGGGAGGCCTGCGGGGTGAGCCTCAGGCCCCTCGCTTACATACGACATTTCACACGGGGCAGTTCCCAAAGCCAAGTGCAGCGGGGATGTCAGGCCCCCGGCAGGGCACAGGCTCGCCGAAATCCTGCGCTTCCATTTACAGGGACTCGCAGCGTAACAACCTGGTAAAACAACCCATCCCAGGGATGCGCTGCTCCGAGATTTTGTAGAGGAAAGATAAATCAGCTCAAACGATGCCAAACGAGCCTCCAAAGCAGCACGTACTGAAAAAAATTGAAATACAATGCTTTAAAGCATGGCCCTTTGGCGACTTCTCTTTAGTAACTTCAGCGCAAGTTTTAATTCTAGGCCTACACACGCAGCCATTCCCCTTCTGTTCAGCATCCTAAACACTAACAGATGCCTGCGGACCCCCCAACAGGCACTGCCTGACAACAGCCCCTTCCCCTTAGGCGTCAGCCCCCATCCGTCTCCCCGGGAGAGCTGCAGCTCCTGCGCTGAAAGCTTCAGCGGCGGCATTTCGCTCTGGAAGTGCCACAAGCCTTCCTAGATCGCAGCCGAAGAGCCCATCGAGCCATCCTGCCTGCGCAACACACGCTAGCGTCAGACTGCGCTCTTACGGGTAACATCAAGACTTCAGGGGTCCAAGTTGCATATTCGATACTCAAAGACACTCGAAGCTCAAGGCACCCCCCGAGTTCTGCTTCTCGGCATTTCGCTTGTGACTTCCCAACTAACACACAGCCTGAAGCATCCCATGACGCACCGACAGAGCAGGGATGCGGTGATCCTAATCCCCAGGGGAAACGGACAACCTGCTCATTATTTCACTAAAAGCAGGCTTTGACAGGATCGCTAGATTATTTCAAGTCCTGGTAGAGCGCAGCCACGAGTTCCAGTCAAGCAAAGAATGACCAACGCCTTTCCATACCTGCAGCTTTAATGGTTGGGGCAGTTCCAGAGCCACCTCTTCAGAGTGCAAGTCTTAAACAGCTTAAACCAGCAATAAAAAGTAAAATATAAATTTTTATTTAGAATTAAAGCAAATACTTCAGTATCACAAACACAATATTAAACTTCAAGAAATATACTGCTAATTTGGAGGGAGCATTTATTTGCACAACCACAACATGCGCACAAATCCAGAAAAAGATGCGGAGTCTGAAATTTTCAACATCTCACCACCAGAGCAGTTGGTCACAACGTTTCATACAGAGTTATATATACTGTAATAGATGTTGACAAAATTTCTACAGAATCATCTTTATAGACAACAAGAAAGCTCTAAGAGGCAAACATTGCAATCTATTCTTCTTCTGATGAGTCTCTCTCAAACGTGTAGGCCATGAAGCAAGCATCTGGTCTCTTGGGGACAAGGGGATGCCCTGGTCTCACAATCTCAAAGCCCAAAAAGCTGAAAGTACGGAGCAATGCAGCTAGAAAAAAAAGCAGAAAACAAGTTTTATCCATTTGATACTGTACAACAGCGGAAGCATCCACCAAAAGCAGTTCAAATACTGTGTTCACATCTCAGTGCTCTAACACCTACCTCTATCATCTCTGTTCTTGTGGAAACAAATGAACACATGATCAACTCGAAGCTGTTCTTCAGCAAACTCTAGAAGAACTGCAAAACTACAAGACAAACACAAGGTGTTCAATGCACGCGAGCAAACGTTTCCTTCAGCACTAGCTCGCAAGGCCCCGGGAGCCAGTCTGCACGTGAACTCGTCGGCGCCAGAGGCTAGCGGTGGGAGACTCACACCAACAGGAAAGCGCTAAGCCCCAGGCTTAACTTGAGGCAGAAATCTAGGACTTCAGTAAGACAGACAACGCGCTTTTCTGTTGCGGCTGAAGGGAGAACTGCAGTGAAAGACTCGGAAGCAGGCTGGCGTTTTCAGTGGACAAAAGCAGCCGCCCAGTACCGGGGAACACAGCTTGAAATCCCAGAGCCTTTGGGTGGTTCCGCCTGACAGAACAGGTAGAAGCAGCCCTCAAATCAGGAGCACTTAGTTGCAGCCTCTTACAAGCGAGCATCAAGCACCGTAATCAGACTTCAACTTGCAGAACAATGGGAGTGAACATCAGCGACAGTAAAGTGTTATTCCACCCCACGGACAGGCCTTCAAGATGGAGGCAAGTGAAACCGCAGCTGCATTTTATTCTACCTACCTGTCTTTGCTCCCTTCAGGCAGAGCACCACTGGGAATTTCTATATAGAGGTTGTTGTTGTTCAGCACTGCTCTCCAACTAATGTGTTTGGCATCAGTAAGCCTTGACTGGACATTCAGAATTCTTGTCCTGTTATTAGATGTTAGTTCTTCTGTTACATTCAGCCGATTATCCTGCAGCAGTAATATGTGCAAAGTTATTTCCACTTCATTTTGGAGAAGGGATAACTCCCATTAATAGGCGTGAGGCAAGAAACGCATTCAAGCTCACCATAGCAAGCTGCTTATTATTATTCATACTCACCGAATAAAATAAATTAGCTGAAAGATTGTGATCCC